TACACCTCCCTGTGTCACACCGACCGGCAATTTGGAAGCTTTGGACCACAGACAAATTCTTACTCACAATCAAGGAGAACTGCTCACAACACTGCATGACCTTATCTGTTGTGCATTGTGTGAGTATGGATGGATTAGCACCGCAGGCTTTAGTGCGTCTCAACTTGCCTGCTTCTATTGTATTCTTTCCTCCACCCGCACAGATAACAATGTCCCCGTTGTGAAGAATCACAGCCGACAAATCCGCCTCAACGTCGGTGACTCACTGCGACTCGAATGTCCCATTTGGGGTTCGGGGCCCGCGCATAAAGGTCCCACGGATCCCAATGCAGCCTTATTTCTAGACGGAACTGGCGCTGGTGAGGAGGATGTAATGTATCAATGGAATATTCGCAACATTCCAGACTACTCACTGGCTATGAACCCCCGATTCCGCTTTTCTGAAAGTGGCCGTGTCGTCCAACTGACAGGTCCCGTCACAAAGGAAGATGCTGGGGTTTACCACTGCTCTGGAGTCACAGGCTTTGGTCGAAAGGAGGTGACCTTTGAGGTCTACGTGGCAGGTTAGTATCAAAAAATGCATTAGACGAGTCAGCAAATGCTTTAGAAATAATAGTATTGAGAGTAAATTTCAATAAACGGGTATTTGTGTATAACAAAGCCCCCAGAAAAGACGGAATTCTTATTCCTGTTTTTCAATTGATGTAAGACAAAGTTCTCCTCCTTGGCTTATTCACCAAGTTGGTTATACATTGAAAGATAGGCTATAAGTTATACCTTTAACCTGAGCCTATTCAGAGAAATGTACTTACTTCAAATTTGATATTCACAGGAACTAATCCAATTAATAACTAAGGCTTCAGGTGGACTGCTTCTGTGTCCTATTAAATGTCAACGTTGTTTCTTCGCATTCTTTCCAGACTCAAACGTCGACCTGCTCTGCGCGAAAACCGATGGACACGGCAACAATCCTCAAAATAGTAAGTTACTTAGTAAAGGCTAGCAAACTTTTTTTTTCTATTTAATATAAATTTTCGTAATTTTGACAAGTTTTTCCCCTGCGACGACTCAGCATACGCTATTATTCCACATCCTACACAGTAAAGCGCAAAATGCGTACATATTTATATGTTACTAACCAGATCAGCTGGTCTTGCTTTGTGCTGACTCTAAAGTAAATAGTAGGTGTGCGCTCCAAAAATTATTTTATCATAAGACAGTGAAACAGGTTTGATGAACATTAAATTAAAATAGAACCAAATTAAAAACTCAGAATTTGCTTATCAACATGGGTTCCTGTTTTAGTGCTCTGTTTTGTGGATCCCAACATGCGCATCAATAAGGTAACCACAGTTGAGGCTCTGTTGGGCACATCCGTAGACTTGAACTGCGAGGCCATGGGCGCCCCGCCAATTAAGTACCTCTGGTTCATGGGATCATCTGTGGCCGACTGGATCTCCGGTGGACAGGATGTGCGTGGGCCGCGATTGCACATACCGAAAGTTGGCCGAGAGCATACTGGTCACTACACCTGCCAAGTCCGAAATGCAGCCGGAACGCTCAATTACACTTACAGGGTCACTGTCAAAGGTGAGTATTGGTTACTGACATGGACTATTGTTTTTTGCATCCACTTATATGAGAAAGTCTGAGAGTGCAAAAGGGTAGGACTGTGTCCCAAACTCCAATCAGCTTGGATCAACGAGAGCCGAAGTGACGGCTCTTAACTTGTTTTCCCTCGTCAGTCATTTGGGCTGTGCAATATCAAGGACCGGGCCGACACGACTGGCCTCATGGTGAACTATTGCCAATAACCTCGACCAATTGCCGTTTAGCAGCATGCACACGCGGGCTAAAAAACGTGGGCGGATCCAGGATTCTCTGCCCAGTAACCAGGCTGAACCGGCATGCGTTTAAACTACTATTGCTGATGTGCTTACTTACCAAACTCGTAGCCCCAGCACTATCTAAGAGCCTAGAAGCGTGTTTCGCTGGTATTCCGTCACTGCTTGACACAACTGCGAGGGGCTTGGCTCATCAGTGGGTCCCCAGCCAATATGGTAAGTAATCACTTGAGTTATAATACTGTTGGCAGCTTGTGAATAATACGCTATTATCGCACAGTGGCTGATACACCGGCCCAACATATTCCCATCAACTTCGGTCTGCGCGTGTAGATATTGAATACAATGATTCCCTTGAAAAACTGAAATTAATCCCCATTCTCGTAGAACCCTCGGGAACTACGAACTCCGTAATCAGCTGCGAAAATTATACTTGGATGTAAAACTTGCAATTAGCTTCTGAAGTCTGGGCATTCTAAAGTCATCTACGGATTTAACTTCGGTTCACTGCTCACAGCTGTTGATTTAGTAATCACAAAACTGGCGCATAATCTATCCACACGGAAGAAGCGCAGTTGGTGGTTAGGATCCGGCGCTTAGATGCCTCCATTCCGTCAGAAATACGCATTTTTTAGGTTTATTTTATATACTAAACCCATCGACCATTAAAAAAGGGTATCGCGACAGCAATTTATAGAGAAAAGTGCTAGGCATGTTGGCCTCCACCTGGGCATTTGATTTTTTAGATACTGAGTGCATTTGGGATTTTTGGTTCCCTATCAATCAGCATTTAGTTGTACTTTTTATTCCAGAACCCCCATCTGCGATCCCGACCATCATCGGAGGTCTGAAAAATCAAACGCTCTTCAGTGGTGGTAGCGGTATGCTCACCTGCCAGGTGAAGTGCTCATGCGCGGAACCTATAATTCAGGTGAGTCAAGTAGATACATATCTGAACACCAAGATGCTGTGTCAAACTTGTCTACCGGAGACTGCCAGCATTTTATCATGTGTTATATGTGTTGCAGAGAATTTTCGTTGCAAGGCCTAAGCTCTATAACCGCCTAACTCAAGATGGGCCTGTTTTGTGTCTAGACGCAGACCATACTCTTTTTGTGCTTTTTGAGGTCCGTTGCATCTTAAATTTAAAACAGTTCTATCTTAACATCAGTTGATGAATGTTCACCGACCGCTAACAGAGCTCACCTATCCCGCACTGCCTTGGGTCTTATTTCTCGGGCCCTCACAGCAGCCGTAGCTGCCGTAGGGCCATCACAGCAAGGGAGTCTGGAATGGAATACTAGCTGCCTAGGACTACTAGCAACTTCGACTGCTGTCAGGGCCCGATAAATGAGACACAAGGCAGAGCGAGATAGATGAGTTCCGTTAGCAATCGGTGAACGCTCATCAACGAGTGTCAATATCTCCCAACCCAAACCCGCAAGTCAACAAGCCCGTGGCTCACCAGTTAGAGCGTTAGACTCTGATCGAAAAGGTGCAAGTTCCAGCCCCGAGCGATGCACCACTTGGACTTGGATATGACTGGCTGACGACGGCTGATAAGCCAGAAATGGCCATTTCAGTTTCCTTGTCTTTGCCGGCAATACCCTCAGTTCTATCTTAGCAGCCGTAGATTAAAAAAATTAACAGAAGTCTTTTTTGCTCCTGACCCATTAAAAGCGAATATACACACATTTTTTTATTACTTGACGTTTGAATAGTAGTCCCGAGATGTCGCAATTCATCAAAAATACTTCGATGGACATCGGGTAACTTTCTTTAGAACCACTGTCATCCCAGTTTAAAGCGTATTTTAAAATCTATACAATAACGCTGATGATAAAGGAACAATATACTTAGTAAACACTACTAATTCACTACGTCGTTAAGCAGAGGTTCTGGCAAAATGTAAAAATTTACTTCGAATGCTTTATTCCAGCTAACGCTTCCTCCCTCGAATTTATTTATTTGATACAGCAGATTTATTCGGAAGGGGTCACCTATAGTATCTATAGTTAAACAACAATTAAAATTAT